GATGCCAAGCAATGGATGGAGTGATGTAAAGAATACCACAATGGACTATGGAGCAGTGGAAACATGTTCTGTGGAGTGATGAATCACTTCTCTTCTCTGTTTCTCTGTTTGGCAGTCTGGGTTTGATGGACGAGTCTGGGTTTGGCAGATTCCAAAAAGACATTACCTGTGATACCAAGACATTGTGGACAATGCTATGCTTCCAACTTTGTGGAAACAGTTTGGGGACAGCCCTTTTCTATTCCAGCATGGCTGTGCCCCAATGCACAAAGCAAGGTCCATAAAGACATGGTTGGATGTGTTTGGTGTGGAGAACTTGACTGGCCCACACAAGAGCCCTGACCTCAACCCCATTGAACACCTTTGGGATGAACTGGAATGGAGATCGCGAGCCAGGCCTTCTCATCCAAACTCAGGGGCATGACCTCTGAAACGCTCTACTGGATGAATGGGCAAAAACTCCCACAGAAACACTCCAAAATCTTATGGAAAGCCTTCCCAAAAGAGTGGAAACTGTTATAGCTGCAAAGGTGGGACCAACTCAAGTGTAATGTCAATGTATTTAGAATGTGATGTCTTTAAAGTCCCAATACCTTTGTCTATATATATAACTTTTACTCCCAAAAGATCACTGTGTAGAAAAACCTTCGCTTTCTGACACATTCAGTTAGCATGTGGTTCCTACTTCGGCCACTAGGGGCGCATTGTTTTTCTTTATTTTCAAAATAATGTTAAAAATCAGCAGAGCGCTAATATGTAGAGTTAGTATGTAAAAATTATACGATCAGTTGTGAGTCAGTGAAAAAAAATTGTAAATGAAAATATTATGAAAATTAAACAAGGCTTTCTGTGATTTTGCCATAAACATTTAGACAATGTCCTATTGTTTTACACATTGCAATTCTTATTTGTAATTCAATAGGTAGTGATTCTTGACAAAAGGACAAGCTTAAGAACAAGTTGTTTCATTGTTTCCCTTTGGAAAGACTTTGAAAGGTCAAGGAGAATGTCATTACAATACGAGACGAGACTCTTCTGTTCATTTTATTTAACTGAAATCTTGTCTCCAGGTTCAGAAAGCTGCTCCAGTAATCTATGTTTAAATGTGTTCCAGTTGTCCGAACTATATCTGCGCCATTTTCCAGATGGTGGCTTTATCAAAGGAGTAGAGGCAGGCTTTAAATTTCAAACCAGAAAGTACAAAACACCTTGTAAATCAGCTACAATGAAAGTCTAAAACCATCACATAAACGATATGCCAACTGAGGTAAGAGAAAACACAGACATCATGGTTGTTCTTCATAGCTACGCCTACTAATTATCAAGGAAAGGATTGAGGATGGGAGGGTGTTTCAGGGGAAATGGGCATATGGACTTTCTTTGCATCACTTGCCTCTCGGTCAATTAGAATGATACTAAGAGAAAAAGTCCCCAGCACAGTACATTAGCCGCCAGTGATTTGAACATTTATCACTTTAGGACAACAGGCCACTGCGCTTGCCTGCATAATGGTCCTTACCACTTTAGGGGCCAAGCACAATGCTCATGTGGACATTACCACCCCTGTGCTCATCTAGTTCAGGCAGTGAAAACTTTGGATATTAAAGCCAATAAAAGCATGCATAGGTGACAATGAGTATATCATTAAAGACAATGTGAGCTGGTTAAATCTGTTTAGATGAATGTCTTGCCTTGCATAGGGCAATGGAAGCATGCCTCAGAGTAAAACAAAAATATTTCTCTTATTGATGATTTTATTTATATGTATCCACAATTGCGACTTTGTCAAAATTTTGACTTTCATAATTAAGACTTTTTTTTTTTTTAATGTACTCTTTCTCAGAATTGTGACTTTCTCACAATTGCAGTTTTATATCCAACTATTGCAACTATTTCTCACAATTGCAATTTTCTATCTTAGATTTGTAACTATTTCTCATAATTGCAACTTTTTATCTCACATTTGCGACTTCCTCACAATTACATTTTAGGCATTTTGGTGTGTGTTTGGTGGGGGGTGAAATGGGACAAAAAATTCTATTTCAATGCTTTTGTGTTCTCACGCAAAACCTTGTGTTCATCCGAGAAAGTTCGCGTTCGCTTGCAAAGTTTAGCATTTTTCCTGAGTGTAAACACAAAAGTTTCTCAGGGAAAATGTAGGGCTTTCTCGCAATTGCATTTGCAAATTTATTTCTCATATTTGTGACTATGTTTCATAATGTGACTTTTTTTATCACACAATTGTGACTATTTCTCTCAGTAGCAACTTATTTTTTTACAACTGTAGTTCTGTGTCTCACATTTGCAACTAAATCATAATTGTCTTTACCATTTGTTTTACTTTTTTTCTCTGAGACACTTAGTGTTTGACCTCTAAATGCAATAAAAAATGTGAACTGTAAGGTTCTTTTACTTAAAATATAAAAATAAGCAACAAAATACTGAAGCACAATACTTTACAGCAGCACTTTTCAGACAGCTGTCAGTCATATGCACAGACTTCTCCTGGGTCTGCGTCATTTGGGATCAATAAGCACCACAGCCTTATGATGTGTTATTCATAATGCTGAGAACTGACTAAAACACTTTGACTTGAAAAGCGCCGAGTGGCTTTTAGCTCTGCAGGTTCACTGCTGCCCTGGTCTCCAGCTGTCTTAAAGTCTGCTGACACAGCATGTGATTAACATATACTTGAGAGGTGGAAAATTTCACACCTAAGCTTTTAAACGGCGTTTCACTGTGCCGTATGTGTTCAAAACGAATTTTCTATCAGTGTTGCGGCTTTAGAATTAACTGTGATGTCTCGGGATAAACAGAAACATCATATGATGTATGCCAAAGTACTCAATGACCTCGTTGAATATCAGGACTGTCATGGAACTTTTTCAGCCCTTAAAAGAGAGCTTCCTGGCAACCTCAACCATTTCCTTAAGTAGTAAAAGCTGTCTCCGTGAGATATTAAATTGCCATCTGGCTTAATCACCGATAGGTTTGACTTAAGCCAGTGTTACCAAAATGACATCTGGACACAAAGCAGTTTCATACTGCGATAGTTACTTAAAGGGATAGTCCACCCAAAAAAAATTTAAATGTCACCCTTATGTCTTTCTAAACCAGTATGCTGTCAGACTCATTACACTGCTATTTTCCATATGTATGTATGTATGTATATACTGTATATATATATTTTTTTATTTTATTTAATAAGAATAAAAACAAACCATACATACCATGTGTTTCCTTATGCAAATCTACTATATAACTTCAGTTGGCTTTTTTTAATGGTGCTTTTAAGTTATACTATATGTATACTTCAAATATTTATACATTTAGCTTTTTTTATAAAAATAAATAACATTATACGGGTTTAGAACAGCATGAGAGTGATTAAATAATGCAATTCTTTCTTTTTTTTTGAGCAAACTACTGTATCCCTTTAAGATGACTAGCATATTTAAATAGACTTGCAGGCAATCAGTTAGACCGCAGACAAAGGCTATGATTTATCTGGTTGAGCTGTTTCACTTCTTCCTCTATATTTAACTGACTCTTAAATATATACTTCTGAACGTCATGTCATTGGATTCCGTGGGTGAAAAACTGGACGAAACAGTTTTGCCATTCCCCATTCATTTACCCCCTCTAAACTTTTTTTTCTCATCTCTCTAGAGTTGCGCAAAGTCTGTGCCAAAGATGAACTGAAGCATTAACAAGCTCAAATGCTGCTGGTGTGTTTCTCTCACACAAGCCCCAAGCTTACTGGGGCAATACAGCCAAACAAACCTTTTGCCATATTTCACAGCCCCTTGAGTTGTTGCAACCCCAGGCAGATCAATAGGTCGGGTGACAAGATCACACACAGGTTAGTGAATGTGTGAGGTGCCAAACTAACAACTCAGTCTAGAAGGTTGTCCTCTATAGACATTTATGGGTATGTTTGGCCTTTGTATTGTTAGAAAGTGACTACTTTGGTTTGCCCTTTTGGCGAAGCATGCTGTTTTGTCCTTGGTGTCTGAATCAGTATCTACAGATGGTTTGCCAACAAATCAAAAATAATATTTAAAAAAACCAACAACAAAGGCACACTAATTATTCAAAACCAGCAGTTTCATCATAGAAAAATAAATAAATATATATATATATAAATTAATGCAAGGAGTGTGTATCTTAAGCTGACTTTTTTCTACAGATTTAAATAACTGCATTTGTAAGATAACTGAATAGCTCATGGGAAATCATTTTCATTATATGGCATATTTCCAGTGGGCATTAGTGCAGTCAGTCAGGATGCGTTAATGACATCTGCTGGTGTGGTTCTCTAACTTCCCTCTGATCAGACAGATATGCAGAGTATGCAGATGTTCAAAAGTTATTCTTGTAGATCAGTGTTTTTGTAGATTCTTAACCAGGGGGTCGAGGTCCACTAGGGGGCTTCAACAATTGTTTAAGGGGGCCACAAAATTATTTAAAATGAGAAAAGGCGGACTTGGCGTTAGATTAAAAATAATATGCTGAGACCAAACTGGTGCAAACTCAAAAATTAAGTTAATAAAATGTATATTTACAAGTCTTACCAAGTTGTTAAGATAATCTATTTTTTTTAAGTAAATATATAAAGGTTATTGCAACTTTTTATCTCATGATTGGGATTGTTTTCAATTCCACGATATAAACTTACAATTGAGAAAAAAGTCATAATGGTGAAATTGTAAAGGGAAAAGCCTGAATTCTGACTTCTCACAATTCTGACTTTTTCCCCCATACTAATATGAGTCCACATCAGTAATTTCAAGCTTGGACTGCCATTACAGTATGTATTTCCATTCAACACTAACGTAACTTTCCTGTTTAGAAAGGTAATACTTCAATATTAAATATTATGACACAAAAATGTTGCCACGATTTTGCAAGATTTACAGTAACTTTGATTTCTTAGGTCATTACTTTTCATAACCCAAACATTAACTGAGAAATATAACATTAATGCTCATAATCGCAAGATGAGTTCACTGACTTTTGGAAGTCGAAGCATCAGTGTTTTCTCAGGCCAGGATCGTTCGGAGCGGGTTTCTCTCACTATTGTGAAATGGAAAACCCGAAATGGAGCACGAGCAGAGCGTGATTACAGAACGCTTTGAGCAGGTTGGGGAAATCACTCCCTTCCACTAACATATGCTGTTCCAGTCTGTACTTTGCTTGAAAATAAGTAGTATAAACGTGTGTTACAACCACAATGTCTCGTCAGTTCTTCTATTTCTAGTTTTTTTATGTAGATTTAATATTGTCATACACTATGTCAAATGAAACCTGCTGATTCAGATGAAATCAGTTCTGCAATTTAATGTCCATTATAATAGGGTTTTCAATCATAATAATATGAAATTATACTTTCAAAATGTGTTTTTGTCCTTTAAATCCTTTGTTTTCACACAGTTGATAGCTTTTACTGTCACCGTAGAAGGATCATGGTCATTTCTAACCGGTTAAACAGTTACAAACTGTTATTAACCAGTCCTACCTACACAAGTGAGAATTTGTTCGAAAACATTACAACTGTTATTTTTCAGTATAACCTGGGTTATATTTGAATGTTTATGTTATAATTTACCTGTCAGGATCATTTTAATATCAAAACGCTCCATAACCTGATATTCACTGCAATTTGGATTTGTGTAAGTGGCCTTCATTAAGCAGCAGATGCCTTTTTATGAGGGTGTTATGCCCAGCGTGTTTGTGCATGCATATGTATTCAACGCTCCATGTGAAAAGCACTTGCACAACCCACACACTTACATGCAAACGTACGTGCCAAATGCGAGAGCAGTTCGCGACTTGCCCTGGCACACTGTTGAGATCTGACCTGCTGTTAAGCTCATTTCTGGTACCTCTGACCTATATTTTGTTCTCTCTCTCTCTCTCTATCCAGTGAGTTTGTATGCCTCCAGCCCATCTTACTTTCGTGGCTTTACCCTCATTGCTCTGAAGGAAGGAAGGGAGGGCGTCACTCCTGATGATTACGCTGGCACTTTCAAGGTGAGGGATTACAGTGACCCCGTATAACCGCCTTGAACTGTGGCAGTAAAAGATGACAGTCTAATTGCAGTCTATGCAAAATTTGCAGTTTATGTCGGGTTGCGTCGGCATGTCTGTATTTAGACATGGTATGTTTTAGGAAGAAAAATGATCATTAACCCTTTGATGCATGAAATAAATAAAAAAAACACAACTTTCTTCAAAACAACGTGATCATACACATTTTTTTTTATTCTTGTCCAAAATTATAACTTGGTGCATCAGCACTTTTATTGGCCAGATTCATTTTATGTTGTCATAAAAAAAAAAAACATAAACAAACTAACATATAAAGAGGAAAGCTATGGAATTAATAATCATTGTATTCTTTTTGGTTGTGTGATCATTCCCAATCTTCTTTTTTTTCAATCTTTCTTCTTCTTTTTTTTAACCCAAAATTGTGTATTTTTGAGGAAATATTCAATATATACTTACTTGGTGCATCAACACTTTTATTGGCCACTTTGATTTGATGTCGTCATTAAAAAACACTAACATATAAAGAGAAAAGTAATATTATTGACTCTACAAAGTGGCTTTCAACTTCATATTTCTTGTTATTTTTCAGTCTTGAGTATCAAGTTTTCTTTAGACTTTTGGGAGACAAAATGTTTTAAAATATAATATATATACTGTGTGTATATATATATGTAGAGAGAGAGAGAGAGAGAGAGAGAGAGAGAGAGAGAAAGAGAGTAATAATTATATTGCATTATTTTAATTATTATTTATTTATGTGATCATTCCCAATCTTTTTTTTTTTTCTTCACCCAAAATTATGCATTTTGAGATAATATTCCAGGGGTACTTGGTGCATCAACACTTCTATTGGTGGTCTTTGATTTTATGTTGCCTTAAGTAAAAAAAAAACACTAACATATAATAAGAAAAGTTATGGAATTAAAGGTCAAAGGAAATCACCCCTGATTAGATAAAAATGGCTGTAGTGGACGTCATGCATCAGAGGTTTAAGTGTTTTAAGGATTTCAGATCCATCTTTTGCCAGCAAGCAGAACTGTGTGAAGTAGTTTCAGACATGCTGCTCCTCATTGGTAACACACTGACTGTCTCAGAGCTGTGTCCTCTCTGAAAGACAGGACCCCTATCATTTAGTGCTCTCCACATCAAGCCGCAGTGCTTCCCAGACTGAAGCAGGAAGGCTTTCTCCCCCCAGATCTCATTAGCTGTGGTCGGCGCTCTGCACTCCTTACCACTGTGTTTTTCAGCGCACAGATTGCCTGGCGGATGTTAGCAGACATTCTCTGTTGAGGTCTTTAACTGGGGATTCTCGTCTTGACAGACTAAATTGAATGAACGAAAAACACAATAAAGGCAACTGCAAAAAGACAAGAGACCGTGGTTTTGTTCTAAATGTATTTAGAGCAATGACGAAAAATGATGTTCGATGTGTTGAAAATGAAAATTCTTTTTAAAATGTTCAAAACACAAGTGCAATTTTTTTTTAGAAATGTAATCGTTGTATTCATTTTGGTTTCATAAATTTTAGATTTTTTTTATAGTTTATATATTTTTATAGTTGACTCTAAAAAGTGGCTTTCAGACACTGTTCATGGCATTTGTTTGTTTGTTTTGCAAGTGAATCATGCATTTATCTTGGGGTTACACCATTTGATCTTGACTTGCGTTTAAAAAAGTCGAAATATGACTATACACAGTCTACGGGAGTCTTCTCTGTGAAATAATTTAATGTTTTTCATGTTTTACATTTTTATTGTCTTCCTGTGTGTTGGTTATGCCACACTGCCTTAGTATATAGACATATACATACATACATACTTACAAACATACATACATATATATATATATATGTATGTATGTGTGTGTGTGTGGATTTAATGTTACAGTATATTTCTGTAAATTGCTATTTTATTTGAAACCTGATTTTTAGTATTTTGTATAGAAATATTAACCATGAAATATACTTGAATTTTACTTGAATATGTTTTTTTTACTAGAATTCAGAAATGTAAAATATTTTTCATTCAAGTTCTTTATTTTACTGAAGCCCTGTTTATATTTTTTGTATAAAGTATTTTTGAATGGAATAGTCCAGGATTTAAAAAGTGAGCAGCATCTCATTTTTTTATATTGATATATACAATATATTCTGTGATATAATGTCCGAGAGAAACATTAACTTGTCCTCTGTAGTATAATGACACAATTTATAACATGAGAATCTATTTTTACAAGCCCAAGTTTAGCAGGGAGCTCGACCCATTTATTAGGTTGCTCTTGTGTAATGTAATTTTTGCCCATTGAAAATGATTGCATTCGCATTTGCTGGGTGAAGCTTTAAATCTATGAGATGTTCATTCTACTACAGTTCAGTAATTTGATCAATGACCCTGACCGTGACCTGCATTATCTCCAGGGTAAAACCTTTCTGGATGTTTTCTGCATTACATTTCGCTATTTCATTGAAGTGTTTTAGATGTTAAACTCAGAAAAGTTTTCGTTTGCAGACGTAACCTCATTCCGAGTTGTTTGCTACCCGTGTCTGTTAACCGTGGCTTTCAAAATATTCATATTCATCAGTCATCATGACAGTTCATATACAAAGCTGTTGCACTTCTTATGCTACCACAAATTGACAAACAACTCTCAAGCCAAACCAGCATGGTCGAAATAAGCATCGCGACATCTCGCCATTCGTTTCACTTAATCTCTCCAAGGAACCACTTGAAGACGAGACGTCCCCAATTCCTTCAGGAGGCATGGTTATTCACTCAAGCCACAGAGTTTTGTGCTTGCGAGAGAGACAAACTGAAAGACGGAGAGTTTAAGAGAGCAAACAGAAAACTGCTTTCGCTGTCCCTCAGGAGCAGGGCCACACAGTCTCGCCAGGAGCCACAATTAAAACAAACACGCCTCTCCTCTTCTCTGTTTTGTACAACTTTCCCCAGCTGGTTTGCAGCATTTTTAAGGCAGCCACTTACAGCCCCTTTTCACCCAGGACACAATGCACCGGGCTGCTTGGCCTCTTTTAAAATAAACACTTGGGGAGCGACTGTTGCACAGTCCTACAGCTCAAGCATATCTTTACAAAGTTTAGCCTAGTTTCCCTATCAATTCAGAAGTTTCCGGTTCACTGTTTTGTTTTTAGTCTGAACAAGGGTGCGACAAGGTTGCTTGAGATGCCAAAATTGCAGCTTTTACTTTCTTTGCAGAAATGAAGGACAGAACCAGAGGATACTGTGTGCAGATTTGGGTTTGCATGACTGTATGTGTGTGAAAGAGTGGGAAGTGGAAATGGAGAGAACGAGAGAGAGTGAGAAAGAGGGAGGAATTATTTATGCTATATACTACTACATTAAAACGTTTTAGCTGATTAAAAATGTCAATACAAACATGTTACCGAAAGATTTATTTCTGTTCTTTCTATTCCTCAAATAAATCAAAAAAAGTATCATAGTTTCCACAAAACATTAAACAGCAGATCTGTTTGCAGCATAATAATAATAATAAGAAATGTTTCTTGAGCACCAAATCAGCATACTAGAATGCTTTCTGTAGGATCATGCTATTCTGAAGGATCTTATTATTTACATCAGAAGAATAAATTACATTAAATACATTATATGAAAATAATATATTATATTATGTTAAATACACATTTTATAAATATTAAAAAACAACAGCTTTTAAATTATAATAATATTTACTGTTTTTTTATCAAATGAAAGCAGCCTTGATGAACATAAGAGACTTCTTTTAAAAGCATTAAATAAGTTACAATGTTCCCTGTTCCACAGCTTATTGATGAAAGTGACACGCAGTTTATGACCAACTGCCCCCCAGCCGTCACAGAGAGCATTCCCAGAAGACGCACAAGGATACAGGTGTTCTGGACAGCGCCACCTTCTGGCAGTGGTTGTGTCACTCTCAAGTGAGTTATTGTATTATTTTTATTTGTACTATTATTCTGGTCTTGGATAGCAATAAATGAATGAGAATCCATGGATTTAGGCTGATCGATGAAAGTCTGTGGTACTGAACTGATAGATTGTTGAATAAATAGAAAAGAAAACAGACAGAACAAGGGGTACAGTCTGGGGCTCTATACTGAGTTTAGTGTCTAGAATACAATACTGAGTCTGAGCGCTTGTCTCATTTAGTCAGTGTTTTATCACGTTCTGGGAAAGTATTGAAAAAGGAAAACAGTCTTTTCCAATAATATCTGAAGCTGAGTAAACAGAAATAAATGTAGGGCCAATGATAGAAGATGTGATTATGATTGATTGATGTTGGGCAGTTATTGTATGTTAATCTTGAGCCATTGAAATTGCCCTTGACTGTTCCCATCATCTGGAGGCTGTGAATCAGATGATTATGAAAATTTAAAAAAAGCTTTAAAATATTCTGAGAATCCAAACAACATCCTCCCACTTGAGTTCCCCGTACATACAGCAAGCGCACAAGCACACAACAGTGGTCTTCAACCAAACAAAATCTGAATTATCTGTCGGTGTTGTGGTGTTTCCACTCCACCCCCTCATGCTTTCATGCTGTCTTATCCCACTCCTTTTGAGGTTATAAACAACTTTTAAGTGTGTTTGATGCATTAAAGACATCTGAAAGTCTCTCTTTTCGCTCCAAGTTGGACACGTTGCGGTGCATATATGCATTTTTCCACATTATGGGTGCCAACCCTCAAAACACCCTTTACAACAACTCTCACTTTCTGAAAGCCTCTGAATGCCACTCTGTTGGCCTGTTTACACTTGTTGTGAACCAGTGAGGTCTATAATACCAGGAAAAAGTTATCCGCTAACATTCTCATTCATTTCAATGGGAAGTATGCCATTTGATATATGCCAGTTTTGCTCATGGACACTCAGTTCTGGACTGTTTTTGAGCCAATCACCTGAGCCCTTGAAGAGCTTCAAATATTGTGCGTGTAACCATGGCCGGACTTACCATTGGGCTTGAATGGCCTGCAGCCCAGCCGCCTTAACCCGTTTACATTTGTTCAGTTATGTGCCAGTCAGAAATTATTTGCCGCATTTCAACTGTGCACACGGGCCAGCCAGGGCCAACAGCTTCCAACTACGACCTTCAAAGCCATAATCAAACAGCATAAACTGGAATTTATGATTTTTTTCACATAGAAAAGGGACACGTATTAAATCATGTTTGCACTGCGCCGAATCGCCGATTAATTTCTCATCACATGGCTACTTTAAACGGTCCAATTAAGCCTTTAGCCCAAAAAAGCGCACATTTAGAAAGATAATGATAAATTCTCACATGTTCACGCCTCACTTCTTTACAGAGGATGATTCTATATTATATTAATGTTCCACTAAATTAATCTGAAGAGTTTTGAGCGCTCTCTCCCATCCAAAGACTATAGAATACCCTAATATCTTACAGGGACTTTGTCCCATCTCACTACCACCACACAAAGTGGAGCGGAAATTTAATCAAAACGATTAAAAAAAACAAAATAGCCATTTACAGGGTTCGTACGGTCATGAAAACCTTAGAAAGCTTTGGAAAAGTCGTGGAAATTTATTTGACAAATCTCTATATAACAGAATATATGTTTAATCATGTCCTAAATCTCGGTGCGGGATTGCACATTTTGGTTTTACTCATTCCCGCAGGTTTCGCACGTTTGGAAAATTCCCGCAAACATGTATTTAATATACAATGTAGGTTAGATGAGTTAAAAAAAATTCACACAGAATATCAGATTAAGTCAGTCATTTGAAAACAGCGTGAGTGGTTCAGCTGTACCGCGTCTTCTCGCTCTCACTCTCACTCTCTCAAAATTGCCTCACGTCAGCGCATCTCGTCTGCACTAAGAGAGCTGCTGCACGCTGCAATACAAGACTTTCGCTCAGCTGATAGAACTGTCACTTGCCTAATCGGGTCAGTGTTGCATCATCACAAAAGTTTAGCATTTGCACGTCTTTTTAAGTCTTTTTAAACCATTCGGTACTCGCACGCTCCAAACTAGTTTTCTGGGCGCTCACGGTCACATCCAAAGGGGCCGCACATGAAGCCGCCTCACAAACACCTCAAGAAAAAGTTATTGTTTTCATTTTTCTGCTTCAAGTAACCTTGCATTTTAATAAATAATGTTACATAAAGACAATTAAACGGTCAGTAATAAATGAACAAGTTACTAGCAATGCAATGGCACAAGGAAACAAATGAAACAAACTGTGTTTTAACTTTTTCAGGTAGGCTATAGCCTAAAACTAACAGTAGCTACTACTGTTCAGGAACAAAATACTATAAAGTCATAAATATAGATTATATTTATATATTATTTCATATTAAATATGAAAATGTTATTTAGTCAAGAGCAAATTTGAGCAGAGTGATTTTTTTTATTTTGTTCTTTAACACAGACTGACAGACAGCAGGTATAAAAGCTGCTGTCACTTTCATACCAAATGTTAATGTTAACAATGTTCATTAATTATTGGTTATTGTTAATTAATGTTAACAGCAAAAGACAAAATCACTCACTGCTCTTGACTGAATAATTGTTGTAACTTTAATTTTAAGAATTAATCTGTTGTTTAATTTACAGTGAATTTACTGTTTTTAATTTACAGTTTATTCCATTTTTGCAGCATTTCTGTACCTGAATGTTTTCCACCAAAACTGTTTCTAAAATGAAATTCAGGTCCTGAGTTTAATTTATAATACTGGCTAAGCAAATTACAATATACTTAATATTCTGGCATTCAGTTATGTGATTATGTAGCCTAACTTATGCTCTCTGCATGAAGTAACGTCTGGCACAGTCGCAGCCTGTGCTTATTAGAAAGCAAACAAATAGCACTAATAATCATACATTTTCCGAACATTTGTGTAAAATAATGGAGCATTAGATCATGAATATTGCCTTAAAAGTCATTGAAATGTATTGGTTGAATGAACCCTGCATTTAATCAGTGAATGCCTACGACAGTTTTTTCTGCTCAGTGTTATTTCAGGGTTTTGATCTCTCAACTGAGAGATCACATCCTGTTTATTGTATTATAGTGACTATTTAATATTACATCTAAACTTTGACTAGGCTAGACATGTTGGCGATTAATTGTATACAGTATATGAACCTGAAAGCATATTTAAATTTTTGTGTATTTTGTGTTACTCCATAATAAATTTCTAGTTGAGGGCATTTGTAGTATAGGTATGGGGCCCAAACATAACCCAAGCCCAGGGGCCCCCGGCCCCGTAAGTCCAGCCCTGCGTGTAACGTGCTTGTCTTACATGAAAGAACCAATGAGTTTTGTTCTCACGTGTCACGCAAACTCGTTTGAGGTTCCACAAGAACCAGTGAGCTTTGTTCTTGTGCATCACACAAGCACATTTGAGGTTTTGCAAGAACTAATAAGGTTTGTTTTCATATATCATGCAAGCATGTTTGAGGTGTTTCAAGAACCAGTGAGGTTTGTTCTCACGTGTCAAGTTCGGTCATGCAGTTGTGTCTCTTCAGAAGACCTGCACTGTGTCCAAATATGCTTACTTCCATACTGTATAGTAGGTGAAAAAACAGTGCGTGAAAAGAGTAGTATGTCCGAAAAACAGCCGAAAAGAATCTGGCTGACCTACTACTTTTGCTGAGATTCTGAAGTGTGCATGGATGCTCAGTGGACACTTTATTCATACCACCCAAATTAATAAAACTATATAGAATTTTTTTTTAACGCTTATGAAGTAATTTTTAAATCAAATGTAGTATCTACTAGACATTATGCAATTTTGAGCGCAGATTTGGATTATGCCACTTGATTCATGTGGATTACTTTTACAATATCTTTCTGAACTTTTTGAAGATTTTTCTAAGTTTTGGTGGAATGGACTTTCTATAACGATTGAGGCGTCGTGACAACGAAGTGGGGATCCAATAGCAGGCTTTATTAAAAAGAGCGTAGTCAGGACAGGCAGGATCAGATACCAGCAAACAATAACATCCAAGGCACAGACAAAAGAGTAATCCAACAAGACAGGCAATGATCAGGGCAGGCAGCAGTCAATCAAAAACAAGGTAACAGTCCAAGGAACAAAACACGAACAAGGCAAAAATTAGGAACATGGAAACTAGAAAACACGGAAGGGCTAAACATTCAAGCACCAGCCCTGACAGAGAGTGTGTGTGCTATTCTTATAGGCCTACTAATGTGAGACAGCTGTGAACTGATGAGAGACAGATGAGAGACAGGTGATGCACTTGATGAGTCCGGGCAAAGGATTATGGGAAATGGAGTCCTGAGTGAATGGCAAGGTACAGAATGGATTGCACTCTAGAGGAGCTCATGGGCACTCCAGCTGGAGATCATGACACTTTCGATGGAGAAACAGAAATCTCTCAGGTTTAAATATAAGGTTAAAATATCTTCCTTTGTGTTTCGAAGTTGAATGAAAGTCTTCTGGATTTGAAATCAAGTGAGGGTGAATAATTGATGACAGAATTTTCATTTTTGGGTAAACTTGCAACACAACCACATGGTAATTCATGTCTATTTTACATTTGGGGAATTGGTGGCTAATTCATAAATTGTACAATCTCATTCGTACACTGAGATGATCTGCTTACGCCCCAGGGACTTATATTTAGGGTTAGGGGTGGATCATGCTTACATTTTTCTTTCTAAAAATTTTACATTTTCATCCAATGTTAATACAAGATTGCCATATTGTAAAATATTTGTTTTCTCATGAGATCTGGTTGGAACTAAACCTTTAAACCCTTTGTTGTAGTGCAATGGATGATTGACATTTGAGTAGGCGATCCTTAATATTTTCACAGTACCCGTATTTCAACAGGTTTGTGGCTTGAACTTTTTTCCATTGAAACAGTGCATCTAAAAGTGATGCAACTGCTTAAATGAGCCCCTGAATGTCTTTTTAGTTTACTTAGTACAGCAGATTTTAATCTGCTTGTGTAGCAGTTGTGAAATTAAATTCATCCTTTTCATCCCGTCTCTGTCCCCTGTCTTTATTAACTTCTCAAAAAGGATAGTAGTCTCTCCTCCACCTCACTTGGAACCCATATCACCTACCCAGGTCTCATCTTCGTCCATCTGTGAACTCAAGGAATTATTATTGTAGCTTTTAATTTACCCATCTGTCTTATTAGGGCAGGGATGTCTGTTTTTTTCCAATAAACATTTTCAGGGAAGCATCTGCTGTGCCAACATGAATCTGAATCTGCTGTCACTTTGCCTTGGCGTGTCAGAACCGTGGAGACATTGCACCTTGTACCACCGGGCCGAATGCCAGCGCTCAGGCTCCGAAACACTACTGGCAGCAGCGCCCAATGAACATCAAATAAAAGTGCAATTACATCTGGAATCCCTCCAGCACTTTTCTAGTGAAATGTCAAACAGACCAGGGATTGGAAGGAAGTTTTGATCTGGATTTTGTTTCCTTTGATTCTTTGGTGCCATCAAGCTGTGGAAGGCAGTTAAGATGTGGTAGACATGATGGTTTTGTTGACAAGCTTTGGGACTCTGAAGATAAATGGCTTAGATGAGACGATCAAGACCAAATACCAACAGAGGAGACGTCTTAAGAAGTTTTGAGAAGAGTGGATCAAGACTTGAGCAGTCATAATTCGTTGACCACTGTTAAGGGTCCATGAACATATGTATTTGGATTACAGGCATAACCTGTGATTTGTCACATAAATATTCTACAAACATTCACATTTTTTCTCTGTATGAGACAATTTATTGCCATCAGTATTGTTTTGCACATATGTGACCCTGCACCACAAAACCAGTCTTAAGTGTCAATTTTTCAAAATTGAGATGTATACATCATCTGAAATCTGAATAAATAAGATTTGTTAGGATAGGACAATATTTGGCCGAGATACAACTATTTGAAAATCTGGAATGGGAGGGTGCAAAAAAATTTAAATACCGAGAAATTAACCTTTAAAGTTGTCCAAATGAAGTTATTAGCAATGCATATTACTAATCAAAATTAAGTTTTGATATATTTACGGTAGGAAATTTACAAAATATCTTCATGGAACAGGATCTTTACTTAATATCCTAATGGTTTTTGGCATAAAAGAAAAATCTATAATTTTGACCCCTACAATGTATTTTTGGCTATTGCTACAAATGTACCCCAGCGACTTAAGACTGCTTTTGTGGTCCAGGGTCACATATTACTTAAATACAATTTTTATTAAACAATTTTACTACAGATGTAATAAATAGTATATTATTCATTATAGTTATACACACATTGTAGTTAATGCATTAATGTATATAGTTCCTTTTAAAAATGTTAAAAATATATATATGCATAAAAGTCAGGTTCAACAATTCATTGTATGCAAAATTTGAATTTCATTTAAACTTGCTGTAATTACATGATTTATAATAATTAATTAGTACAAATACACTTGTAGACTTGATTGCACATAATCTACTTTATTGTTGCTGCTACATTAACAAAAAAATTAATTTGTCAGCGAGTCACTTAGCTGTTTTTGTACAGTGGTTGTTGTGAAAGGAGCTTAAAGAGAAACGGCATTCAAACATTTTCTGTCAAACAGTGAGCTACTCTGCAGTAATTCAATAATATAAATATATCTTATGATTTGATCCCACTTTATTTACTTTATTTTAGCTACTAACCTAACAACAAAATCGGGTGGCAATTCATTTTGTTTCTTTTGCATTGTGTTTGCAGTGAAAGGGCCATGAAGAGGAACAGCATTCAAGGTTCTTTTCTATGTCAAATTGGGTTGTTACTCAATTTCTGAAAATGCACATTGTAAAGCCCAGATGAGCCAAAAATCTGTCATATTCCAGACACCTTCACATTTTGATAAGGCCAGCACCAGATTCTCTTGTAAGCCACCCACATAAAACATGTGGGATTATTCTCAGGAGGGCATAGCGTTATGGTCAGACCTACCACATGCCACATCCTTGACTGACAGCAACGGCAATGGGCTCTAGTGGGACAGTAGCAGGACTCGCCATTGATATTCCACATGGATTGATTTAAGCAGAGTGTGGCTCAGTCTCTGGGGTACTCCATCAGCGGCAGCTTTAAAAGAGATTCAAACCTCCACCGCCCCCTGAATATAGATGGTACTCTTGAATACATTTGCTTTTTCCTCCAACTCTTACTAAACATATTGACATCAGTTGATGTCTCTATATGGCTTCATTTTAAAAGCCGAACTGTTTAAAGCATACAGGATGCTGACTGGAGTCATTGAAATGTGCTCTCGGGTAGTAGCATTTTGCAAATGTAGCATTATGCGCGGAAGCCTTTGTTAAAAAGATGCATTGTCTGTTCCCACTACAATACAATTTTGAATGCGATAATGGTGGTACAGTAAATGTAAGAGCGCACTTTCTCAGAACTATATCTAAAAGACAGACAAAAGGCAGAAAATGTTGGATGAACATTGTAATGTCTTCATTACAGGGCCAGTGTTGTACAGCGAAGAATCATTTTCTTCCAAGATGAGGGCTCACTTACCAAAAGACTCTGCGAGAAAGGTAATTTTAAAGCTGGGTTTCTCATGCACATCCCCACTGATAGCATTTTTACATCTACAAAGTTGATTTTTTCCCCCTGGCATGAACAGACCTCTTTTTCTGTCATCTGTTTTTGATATTTCTAAATAAAATATGCCTTGTAAATTGTTGTGTTTATTCATTCCACATCAATTTTTGTATGTTTAATGTTTATATAGAGTGTGTGTGGAAGGAGGCAGTTAATGCACATGTGCATTGTTATGTGACAAGAAAAGGAGAAACGTAGATTCTCAGCAGTTGGTTGAAAATAAGGATGTAAAATGGAAATAATGGACACAATGCAATTGAAGTTAAATAACTATCATCTTCTGAACGTTGCAGATCCAGTTGCGATGACTGAAAAACCCATGCAAGAGTGCTGTGCTTGTGGAACAGCCAAGTATAGAGTCACTTTCTATGGAAACTGGTCTGAGAAGGTACATCCCAAAGACTACCCAAGTAAGAACAAACCCTTTGTGACACATGAGCACAATACTCGCATCAGTGTTGTTATTGTTAATTAAAACAAACATTTTAAAAGTGTTCATTTATTGAAATAAAGCTGGAATAAAGTAGAAATATTAGAGAACTTCAACTTAAAAAGCTTAAAAATAAAAAAGGGTGCTAAATGAAATGTTTACATTGAAGTACTAAAATGGCTAAAGATAAAACTAAAATATATATAAATTAAATATAAACAGATTACATTTTAAAAAACTAATAAAAATAAAAGCACATACGGTAAAAGATTTAGTACAATTAAAATGAAAACTAATATAATAAGCTAATTCAAATTAATAAATAATATGAATAAATCAACAGATTAACATGATTCAATATTATATAAAACATTGTGCTATGGTTGTGCAGTATACTGCCTATAAAACACATTTACAGCTGTATGATATCTTAATTTAGCAAATTATGGTACCTTACCTGGTATTAAATTTTTACAAGTTTGGCATTCATTACTGTTTCATTTTGTAATTTGTGACCATGGACCACAAAACCAGTCATAATGGTTAATTTTTCGAAATTGAGATTTATACATCCTCTGAAAGCTGAATAAACAAGCTTTTCACTGATGTATGGTTTGTTAGGATAGGACAATATTTGGCCGAGATACAACTATTTGAACATCTGAAATCTGAGGGTGCAAAAAAACCTAAATATTGAGAAAATCGCCTTTAAAGTTGTCCAAATGAAGTCCTTAGCAAAGCATATTACTAATCAAAAATGAAATTTTAATATATTTATAGTGGGAAATTTACTAAATATCTTCATGGAACATGATCTTTACTTAATATCCTAATGATTTTTGGCATAAAAGAAAAATAAATAATTTTGACCCCTACAATGTATTTTTAGCTATTGCTACAAATATACCCCAGCGACTTAAGACTGCTTTTGTGGTCCAGGGTCACATTTATCTGTACTATAAATCAAATAAAATGTAGATATGATGCTGAAAATTTAGTGATTAATTAGTGTGAAATGTAAGTATATGAAAGTAAATGAAATGTAAGAAATTAGCTATGTTATCGAATCTTTGGAGATTTGCATCATGTTCAGTGTTCCATGTTCTGTTTCATTTTGAAATAAGTGTTTGAAATCGTCCAGCATCTTTATAAGTGTAAAATGGCAAAGATTTACACACTCATATTTTTTTAGATTAATTGCAAAAATGTAGTTTTAACAGTCAGGTACTACAATTGAGTTTTAAAGAGCACTGAAAACACATTCTTGATATATGTTGATGCCACGCTGATTTTAGATCTCAAACTTGAAAATTTGAACAAAGTGGTTTGTAGAAAGAGTGAGAACATGGGCAGAGGTGGCCAGCAATCTCTTTCTCCTGCAGCTTTAGCTCTCGGGGCTGGTTTGCTAATATAGCAGTCAGCAGGAGAGCTGGTTCATTTCCTATGTGTGTGGCAGCAATGATCTAATCTGTTATTTACTGCATGGCAAGCAGGCAGGACTACAGCCTGGACTGTGATACTTTGTGAGATAAGAGAAGCCGGGCGGATGTTGTCTCATAGCGACTGCTGCTAGTTAATGGGTCTGTGGAAACAGACGGTGATGTATGCGGTAGGCTCCTTAAAGAGAGACAAGAGTAGAGGCTTAGATTTTGAAGATACACACTAGAGAACAAGTTACTTCTGAAGTGCAATTATCTGGGAGGATTTAACATTGTATTAAGCTGTAGCTTGAAAGATCTGTTATTTGTTCACCACTGTTGTTTCTGTTCCAAAGGACGTGCTAATCATTGGTCGGCTCTCATTGGTGCGTCTCACTCGAGAAGCTATATGTTATGGGAGTATGGAGGTTTCGCCAGTGAAGGAGTCAAGCAGGTGGCTGAGTATGGATCACCCGTCAAAATGGAGGAGGAGATTCGACAAAAGGTAGGCCTTCTGGCTAAGTGTGACGAGATGAGATATCAGGATCAGACAGATACAGTTCAGCTTGAAAGCAAGCGTTGAAGTAATTGCTCAACTTTCAGGCCAAGATGTCCTTTTCTTGGGAATAGCAGCAGTTTATCTGACAGAGATTGAATTTAAACATTTTTCATTGGCCAGGATTAGGCTCCTTACATTTCTGATACTTTTTCAATTTGCTGTTTGTTCAGGATTATTTTAAACCATGACAAACTAGCCAAAAGGGATGAATCTGAATGAATTTTTGAAGAATTTTTTTTAAGTGAATGAATCGTTCTCTTTCTCTTCCACTGACGCTGAAAATCTCCCTTGTGAAGTGCATGACTGCTTTGGTTGCTTGATAAAAGTCAGCTCTAGTCGACAAAATGGAGGAAAACAAATCAATCTGCTTTATTGTCTTTGTTCATGAAAGAGCTTATTGTGCTTAAAAGCTATTTCTTCATCTTTTAGCTGACTTGAAGACTTATAAAGTTTAATAAGGCATAACAAGACTCGTTTTGGGTGTGAATGACTCACTGATTCAATGATTGATTCAGTGACTCACAATAGATGAAACATTTGTTTGAAATGATTGTTTCAGCCTAATGATATAATTTACAGAAAGAACAAATCTTATTGGTGAATGGAATCAAAAGATTTGAGTCACTGGAATTAATCAAAATCCCCAGTATAGAAGCAATGCTCTTGCTGAAGTTTTTCCATCAAAAACCATTAGCTTACTTATCGCTTTCACTCCATCAAAAGTTGCTTGGCACTCATTTTATGTTTCTGAAGTTCCCCATGCACTCATGGCGTCGGAAATAACATGTCTAAGGTTGATCAGTTAATGGAGGGTTCTCCCTAGCATCTTAATTAAACACATTAGTCAGTATCAGCTAATCTTCACATTGCTGTAATTTAATGTTAATTTCCGCCTCTTGAAAGATCCGTTAACCATTGCATGCAGTCTGAGACTAAGGTCATTTAGCAGCTTTGTAGGAAGATGTGTGTAATATAATTCAGCGTTAACACGACGGGCTGCCTCCATGAGGATTTTAAAGGTCGCCTGGGAAAGGTTCATACCCTAGATGTTCCCATTTGTCTTTTGCACAATGCACTGTAGGTGGATTTGCAGTGCACATCTTGGCACATCTCAGATTGATGATCACAGTATCTTTTCAGCTTCACCCACATGCAAATACGACAGACATTTTGTTTTGGACAAATTAATTTCTAATCAAGTGTTGGGTGTGTATTATAAATATAAATATATTTTAATATTATATATTTATTATATTACGAATAATTAAATATTATATATTAAATGTTATAATAAATGTTATTTTTTAAGAGAGATAGATAGAAAAAATATTTAACATTTAATTATTCGTAATATAAAAAATATAGAATGAATATATTTGTATGCATATGTGTGTGTGTACATAAACGCACAATATATATAAATTTTATTTGTGTGTGTGTATATATATAAACACAGACATAATATATATATATAGAATAAAGAATAATGAAATCAAAAATATTAGTAATGCAAGATAAAATGTAGGTCTTTATTTATATAAATATTATATATTATATTAATATATGATGTTTTACTAAATCAAGTATATTTTTGTATCATTGCAGTATCAAAATAAGAAAGATGATTCCCTTCTGAGTACTAGATCATAAGATGTCTCATCAGTTTTCATTTTTCAGATATTCCTGAAAGCTCTTTGTTTTTTGTTGATTGTTTCGGGGCATGGCTGACGAATTTACCCACAATTATTTATTGATTTGTGCTACAGGCACTTTTGTGCTGTCAACATTTGTTTGGTTTGGCATTGCAAACAAGTGCATTAAAAGTCCTGTCTACACAGTTCTTCCAACAGACCAGAAAAATCACAAGTAGTTTTTTGAAAGTTACACAATGAAAAATCAATATTAAAAATATAAAGGCACATAGTGCAAGAACACCAAGGCACAATACAAAAGTGCAATATAAGCCACCAGCCAAATAGAGCTACTTTTTATTTTTCCTTTTTTGAAGCTGTCAGCTGTCTGTCATTCCAGAATTGATTTTGTTTTCTTCTATCTTGTCCCTTTATTTTACAGCTCGTTTGTGCTTTCAGGGCTTTTTCCACATGCTTGATCTCCGCTCTGATACTGTTGGTTGGTGTTACCTGACATGATCATTCATCTTTTGAGGTAGTGCGGACGCTTTGTAACCCCAGTAAAGGTGAATCTGTCTGCAGGAGCCCTTTGAACTGATTTGCTTTGTGGCAGTTTTTTACTTAGTTTTAATTTGATGTGCACTATGCTCTTTGACTTTAAAGAGGTAGTTCACTCAACTAAATTAATTCTGTCATCATTCACTCACCCTCATGTTAGTCTAAACCTTTGATTTTTTTTTTTGTGTGTGAGAAATTTAGATGTTTAACACAATGTTCACACTGTTCTTTTCTATACAATGAAAGTAAATTGCAGACTAGAGGCTGTCAAGCTTTAAAAATGACAAAAATTGCCATAAAAGTATCATAAAAATGGTCTTGCAATATAATGAACATATCATATAGATTTCCTTTATGATATTTTTATGGTACTTTGTGGTACTTCTTGATAGCCCCTGGTCGCTATTCACTTTCATTGAAAGGAAAAGAGCATTATGGACATTTTTCTTTTTTGGGTGCTCTATTCCTTTAACATGTTTACATTTGTAGTGCAGTATAGTTCGGATAATTTTAAAGCTTTTAGCATAAAATGGTATTTCAGACTTCTTTAGCGTATAATTTTCCCTGCTGTTCGCATAGAGGAAGCAGCTTCCAGAAACATTGCAGCGCTACTGTAAAATCAGTCATCAAAGCCTTTTCCAAAAACCATCACAGTCATTTACTGTCATTTTTGGCAGGCATCATTTCACCATTAGGCACATTACTTTCGGGAAAGCAATCGCAGAACATTCTCAGCAGAAAAGAGCCGTGCAGATAAATATTTCAGTCGTAGATCACGTTGCTGCAGCTGAGTCTTTTCTGAATGCCAAATTGTGACAATAGACAGGAGTAAGTAATACGTATTCAGCAACATTGCAGAGAAGCTTACAAGCATTCTTTTGTAAGTGTGGACTAGCACAATTTCCATCAGTATTTCATTGGAATCTCAAAACCTGACCTTAAAATGAGGGAGGAAATAATCCTATAATGAGCTAATGCTTATAATAGGCTAAAACAAAACAGCTTTGCATTAAGCCAGAAATATCGCTCTAGTGATAAATTATACTATTATCTTGTTTACGACTGCTTGTTCAATGGCTCTACCTCATAGCACTACAAAGTCAAAAGGTCTTTTAAAAGCTGTAATTTTCTTTTCTGTAGCTGCCGCATAAACTGAGATGTAATCTTTTTCTAGTCTTTTTTTTTATTGCCAGGCCGCGGAATTCAAATCATCTCTTTCTCACTCTTTTTTTATAATGATTAAAATATGTAAGAGTCCCCTGGTGAATTTTGACCTTGAGCTTACGGTTCACATTTCCACAGACACGTTTAACTTGGAATAAAAATTTTGAATAGCATTATAACATGCTTCAGTTAGTTAATGAGGTGAACATCATGATTACAGAGGTGTCATAAAACTGACTCTAGGAAGGTCATGCAAGCTTTTGGAAGATCTCAGACGTTGACAAACACAGTAAGTTAGGAGGTTCTAAGGCAATTTCTTAGCATTTGTTATCCCAACTTAACTGTTATGTCATTATGAATCTTATTATCATCTCATCTCGGCGATGATATATTTATCCCACAATCTATCAAAAGCACAGTGTGAGGCAAATGGGAACGTGAATGAAATGTGTGTTGCAATGAAGCTTTCCCTGAAGAGGACAGGATGCTTAATGCTTTATGAGCACTACAATATACATAACTGTGAAATTTCCATTTGTACTAACAGTATGGAAGCTCTCTATTTACATGCTAAATACACCGCGGGATTCTTTATTGTGCTGTATAGGTGGGTGTTTGATTGTGCCTTTTAGCAGTCTCCATTAATTAGTGTTTGCATGTGCTAATTAAACATTGCAGCATTGATATGAATTTGATGTTTAGTTTTTGCTGACCCACTAAACATGAAGTGCTTCTTTCCTTGTGTTAACTGTCAGCTGAAGCTGTGAAGCGTCTACTGTCATTACTGGTTTTCGGTCTATTTCCCTGTGATATACAGTGCTGCTGTCAAAACACTGTATTCCAGGGATGTAATTGTCATTGAGAAATTGAATGTAATTGGCAAAGTTGAAATGTGTCATTTCTGTGCCACTAGTGTCATCGAATGGAATATATTCACAATATATATTAATACACTCTCAGAAATAAAGGTACAAAAGCTGTCACTGGGGTGGTACCTTTTCAAAAGGTACATGTGTGTACCTAAAGGGTCCATTTTGGTACCTTAAAGGTACATATTAGTACTTAAAGTGTGCATATTAGAACCTAATAGGAACAAAAGTGTACCTTTTGAAAAGGTACCACATCAGTGACAGCTTTTGTACCTTTATTTCTGAGAGTGTATATATGCTAATAATAATTTTACCTACAATACAATTCAAAAGGTTTTTTTTTTTAAAAGTTTACGGAAAGCGCTTGAGAAATGGTGTCTCTTCCGCGGCTCGGTATGCTTTCAACTCGTTTTTTTAGTCTCGAGCAAGACTGTACAACATTCACATTACACGATTTGACTGCTTTTTACGTAGAAAGGGCGACAGCACACCGCATTAAAAGAAATGATCATTCATGTTTTCATAACCGCTGACCAAATTCAAAAACAAAACTTAAAATTAAATCATCTTTGAGAGCAAGGGGGCCCCCCGTTTTGAGGGCACTACGCAGCTTGCGTATTTTTCTTATACACTCTCAGAAATAAAGGTACAAAAGCTGTCACTGGGGCGGTACCTTTTCAAAAGGTACATGTTTGTACCTAAAGGGTCCATTTTGGTACCTTAA